AGGAGTAGATGCCGGATGGCTGCGGGAGTCGGGGCTGGCGAAGCCGACCTGAGCCGCGTGTTCGTGTCTGCTGGCGGAGGCGGGGTGCGTGCGGGGATTTTCTGATAACACTGAGGGGCAGAGCCGGCGTGGGAAAGGGCCTGCAGCTGGGGGAGGAGGTCAGAAGTATGGAGTAGGGATCGAAGGCTGGACCTCTGCCTAAAGATGCAGAGGAGGGCTCTACCAGCCCGGCGCCGCAGTTCCCTTTTCGGAGCACGTGGGGTGGGGGAGCGATTTTCCCGGGAGAATTTGTCTGGCTCCCCTCCCCCTCTAGGCGGCCAGGTTACCCACGTGGGTTGGGCTGGGGGGAGGGCCGCGGGTCCACGTGGGTGCGGGGATGGGATGTCCACGTGGCTCCCCTGCCTGCTATCGGACTTATAGTGTCCGCTCCTGAGCCACACTGCAGGGAACTGGGTGTGTCCCAGCGATCCCGCCATCCGCGACCCGGGCTGGGAACCGCTGGTCTTGGAGGAAGATTAGGGCTGCTAGAGTCAACTTTGTTCCTAGCGTTGGAGTTTCTCCCTTTTGATGGGTCTGCAGTGCCTTTCGACAGCGGGTGGACTTCCCAGATGTTGGGGCCTCTCTGCAGATGGTAGAGGGATGAGGCTGAAGGGCTGTGGAGAGAGCTTGAGGTAGCTTCTGTCTGACCGGCTCCGGGTGGGTTGTGAGTCACCGGCACATCACTTACGATTTAAGGGGATGAGGAGTGTCAGCATATACTTGGCACAAGCTTAAGTAAGGGAAAGAGAGCCCTCTTGCTCACTTCTTCCTCTAGGATATCTCCAGTGAACTGACACAGAAACTGGGGTGGTCTGTATTTAAGGTTTTCTAGAATTTTTGGTGAGGGTGGGAAAAGTTGGAGGCCCTTTTGAAAACCATTCAGTACTTGAATATTTATCGGATCAGAAAGAATTCTTTTAGTCAGATTTGTTTTATTCTTGGTCTTCTCTTAAAAAATTATTGTCCCACTCTTCAGTGGAGGGCTTCTTAAAAGTTTCCACCCAGGGTGGCAGTAGCAGTGGGGAGGAATTAGTTTGGATTGTTATCTCTTTGGTAACTACCCTGAGTCCTTGACGGCATCTTTCTTTTTTTCCTCTAGGTAGGAGTGGGTCTGCAGGCTGCCTTGTAATATCAGGTCCAGCAGACCAATCTAGGCCTGAGTCCAAGGGAGAATGACTTCTGGGGCATGAATTTGGAAGCAACTTGCCTTTTCTTCATCCTTTCAGAGGTTACTGTCTTTTGAGGCTAGAGCTGCCTATGCTCTAGGGAAGAGGTGTGAGGGATCCAAGACCTAGCTGCAGTACAAATTAGGTGGTCATTTGGGGTTGGGTTGGACAGAGTCTCATGGAAAGATCCTTTTGCCTCTTAAAAAAAGATGGGTATGTGTGAGTAGTCAAATAACCAGCTAGGAATTGAGAAGCCATTCATTATGTTCAGGTACAGGGCATAGATATGATAAGCCCCAGAAATTTTCCTATCCTCTAGCATCTTTTTTGTTTTGAGATAGGTTCACAATATAGTTCAGGCTGTCACCCTGTCCTGAGTGCTGGGATTAGAGGCGTGGTGGGATTACAGGGGTGTGTTGCAAGAGTAGGACAAAAAGAAAATGAGATTATATTAGTGGCAGTTGTGACATAATTTGTAGAGTTTGGGAAAGGATATTTAAAGCTGAGATCCATATGTGTGAAAAACTTTCAGAGGGAATTGTGTGAAGGCCTGGAGAGCGGGAGAGAACACAGCTAACTGTAGGGACTGAGGCCTGTGTGACAGGAGCAAGAAGATAAACTGGAACAGGGGTATACTGGGGAAACCACGATCCCTGTAAACTATAGTGCAGAGTTTAAATCTTAAGAGCTGTAAGGTGACACTGAAGGGATTTATGGAGGGTCTAAGGAAGTGATCATTCACGCAGTTTTAAAAAGTTGGAAGCAGGGTGTGATGGGGCATCAAAAAATAATCAAATAAGTAAAAATTTTTGGCCAGGTTTTGAAACCTGGAGGGAAAAGATTGATGTGGGAAAGCCGGTTGTGGGTTGTTGAAGTTAGAGGTGCTGTGGCTGGCTCACTTTTAGCCCTTGGGTTGATCCCCTGGGAGCAGTGCTGTGAGTAGAGGTTGTGAAGAAGTGGCTCTCTGACTGCGGCTCCAGGACCTGCCTGGTGGAGGTAGAGGTGATGTGTAGGGCTGGGCATGGTTTGACATTCCGGCCTGCTGTCTGGGGCTCTGGTAGGTAAGTGGCAGGGCAAGAGGAGATGCAGCTCCTTGCTCACCTGGGACTGTTTGCTGAGCCAGGTGATACTCAGCTGCTGGTTGTAATTATAGGATTGTGAAGGTCTGGGAGGGGTTAGTGCCTAAAACCTATTGCCTTTTATTTCATCTTTGGCCCTGGCTTGTATTCTAACCAGCCTTTCTCCCTCAGTCTTGTCCCAGGACTAGGGATTGAATATAGGGCTTTGGCACTGAACTACCTCACAACCTTTTGGCGGGGGTGTTCTAGGGACTGACTCAACCCAGGGCCTTTGCACTAAGCTATGTCCACAGCCCCTTTTAATTTTGAGAAAGGGTCTTCCTAAGTTTCTACATTACCCAGGCTAACTCGAATTTGAAATCCTCCTGCCTCACCTCCAGATGCTGGAACTCTTCAGCTTTTTAAGGAATTGGGGGGTATAATCAAACCTGTTGCTTTTTTCTTTTGGAGCAGGTGAATGCTGACTTCGCTTGTGCTGCAGAAGGCGGTCTGGGGAACTTGGCTTGTCTGTGTTTGGTCCTGTTCTTAGGCCTGTACACCATGTTTCCAAAAGCGGAGCCAGCCCTGCTCTGGCTCCTGAGTCTCAGTCCAGCCACTTCTGGCTGTGCCCACACCCTTACTCTTGACAGGTTTGTGCAGGCCACTCCCTGCCTCTTGACAAGGTTGAAGGTGTGGCTAGCTCTTGGAGGAGTGTAGGGCGGGGTCTCCATGGACAGAGTCAAGCTTTCTCTTGGCTGTCATCTAGTAGGGGTGGGGAAGATACCTTTCTTGTAGAACTATGTGAGAGGTTGGATGGTCATACTGTACTGTTAGGATGAGGGGTGTAGCTCTGAAGCAGAGCACATTCTTAGTGTGCATGAGACCCTTGGTTCAATCCCAAGTACCCCAAAAAAACCCAAAGTGGAATAACAACTGTGTAGAAGATACTGCCTGGCACCGTGAGTGAGTGCAGAGTGCTGTATAAGGCATCTGTGCTTTTCTGGGAGACGAGAATATCAACTAATAGAATACAAAGCGGGGCTGGGCAGTGCTGCTACTGCCTGCCTCACAAGTGCAAGGTCCGGAGTTTGATCCCTGATACCGCCCCCCGAAAAGAATATAGTGTTCTTTGCCCTAGATGAACTTGGAATCCAGTTTTCTGAACGATGCAAGGAGTGTTATGAGGTTGGGAGGACAGGATGTGATTGTCAGGAAAGGTAATACATTGGTGTGAGGAAAGATTGGCATAGGTTGGGAATCCTGAGCTATCTTGAAGACTACAGGCTTCCAGCTCAGCAGGGAACAGAGGCCTCAGGCTTGAGGTGGGTCAGGCTGCTGTAGCTGAACCATCACCTAGCTGACTTCTTCCTTTGGTGTTCCCCTCAGACTAGCACCCTCTCTGTGGCCGCTCAGGTCCTCTGAACAATCTGGGTCTTCTGGATGTTTTTGCTTTGCAGTTTAATAATCTCCTGTGGTTCCAGCTGTTTGTAGATGGAGTTCAAACTGTCTTCTGCCTGAATACTGCCACTGTGGTTGGGGTTTTTGCTCCTGGGTTGTGCTTTTCTGCCCACCTGGCGTAATGGTTTGGTGATGGGCTGGAGACCTGGTCTGTGGAGCGTGTCATCCATCCGCCCCCAGAGGGACCGTGCATTTGACCTTCCCCCTTCTGCCCCAGGCGCTGCTGCATGAGGAGGGGGACGACTCTGGCTTTGTCAGTCTGTCTCGGCTGGGCCCATCTCTGCGAGACAAAGACCTGGGAATGGAGGAGCTGATACTGCAGGATGAGACCCTGCTGGGGACCATGCAGAGCTACATGGATGCCTCCCTCATCTCACTCATTGAGGACTTTGGGAGCCTTGGAGAGGTGAGCTGGAGCTCGGGCTGGACCTAGAGTTTTGCACGGGAGGCTTCCCCTCAAGTCCTTGGAGTGGTTTTAGGGATGGCAGTGCTCTTCCACGTGCTTAGCTCTGGTGCCTGACCTGAAGTGTGTTTTTTGTCTTTAGGAGGGAGTTAGGCTGCAGGCTGGCAGATTATATTCTGTGTGAGGATGCCCTGGCTAATTTGGACCGAAATCCAAGGTCCCTATCTGAGCCCTTGACCTGAATGCTTAGAGAGTTCTGATCTGTTTCATTTTGTGTGTGGGTGGGTGTGTGGTGTATGGTGTATGTGTGCTGGAGAATGAACCCAAGGCTTCACGGAGTTCTGCATTTCTTTTCCTTTTTGTTTTTGGTACTGGGGATTGAACTCGGGACCTTGCACTTGTGAGGCAGATGGTGGAGCCACTGAGCTAAATCCCCGGCTCAATAAAAAGCCCACCCCCGTAATCCCAGCACTCAGGAGGCTAAGGCAGGAGGATTGCCACATGTTATAGGACACCACGGGTTACATAGTTCAAGGCCAGCCTAAATTACATGGCTCAAAAATGCTTTTTTGAGACAGGGTCTTGCTAAATCACTTGATTGCCCAGTCTGGCTCTAACTTGGCACTGCATCCTCAGCCTCGTAGAATGCCAGGATTACAGGGGTGGGCTACCACCAGCTTGTGCTTTTTTCTTTTTGAGGGAGTCTTGCAGTGTACGTCCAGGCTGGCCTTGAACTTGTGTTTCTCTTGCTTCTACCTACTGATTGTTCAGATGACAGCTGTACATCACCACACTTGGCACTGATCTGTTTTTAAAGCCCAATTCTGATGTAGCCAAGAGTTGTTTGCTGAGCATCCTTCTCTTACCTGGAGGTGGGGGACTGTATAAAGCCCAAGTTCAAGAGTCAAGTCTGTCAGGTCTCTTTTTTGGAAGATAAACGATTTTGGAACCTTTGCCTCCTGATGACTCAGATCCCCCTGTTGAGTTGAGCTGAACATGGGAGATGAGTCTTTGGTGGCACCTGGCCCTTTTCAGTGACCCAGCAGCTCATTAGAGATGTTGGTGGGGCCTCCCGTTGTCTTTCTGGAGCAGAGCAGGTTATCTCTGGAGGACCAGAACGAAGTGTCGCTGCTCACAGCTTTGACGGAGATCTTGGACAATGCAGATTCTGAGAACCTGTCTCCATTTGACAGCATTCCTGACTCGGAGCTGCTTGTGTCTCCTCGAGAGGGCTCCTCTGTGAGTGCGGGACCAGGGAGAAGGGGACGTGTGGCTGGTATAAAGTTTACAACTGTATCTACTGGCCGTTCACTTAGCTTTAAAGCACAAACTGATCTCAGGTCTTTCTCTCCCTCTTAGCTGCACAAGCTGCTCACTCTTTCTCGAACATCCCCAGAATGTGACTTCATTACCCCAGTTGACCCCTTGGGGCCCAGCACAGGCAGTAATAGAGTGAGTGGGGTAAGCCTGGCCTGCGTGGAACCTACAGATGGTGGGAAGCCCGCAGGGACATGTTTGGAAAATATACTTTGCTGAGAAAAACTTTTTTTTTTTGGTACCAGGGATTGAACTTGGGACCTTGTGCTTGCAAAGCAGGCAGCAGAACCACTGAGCTAAATCCCTGGCCCCAAAATCTCTTCTTTTTTCTTGCAGGTCGAGATGTCTCTTGCTGATCCCCCTTGGGATTTCTCCTCACCTTCCTTCCTAGAGACCTCTTCTCCCAGGGTGCCTAGCTGGAGGTCCTCAAGGTCGAGACCACGCTGGGGTTCGTGCCCTCCTTCCCAGCAGCGCAGTGATGGTGAAGAAGAGGAAGAGGTGGCCAGCTTTAGTGGCCAGAAGCTTGCTGGGGAGCCTGATAATTCCAGGAGCACCATCCCAGATTTCCCCATGCACCTGGCCTGCCCAGAGGAGGAAGACAAGGCAACAGCAGCAGAAGTGGCTGTGCCATCCGCTGGAGACGAGAGCATCTCCTCTTTGAGTGAGCTGGTGCGGGCCATGCACCCCTACTGCCTGCCCAATCTCACCCACCTGGCATCACTTGAGGATGAGCTTCAGGAAGAGCCAGAGGAACTGACGCTGCCTGAGGGTTGTGTGGTGCTGGAGATTGTAGGCCAGGCAGCCACAGCTGCTGATGGCCTGCAGATACCAGTTGTGGTACGGCAGATCCCCGCTGGACCTGGGTCTGTTTTCCTAGATGACCCGTTGCAGCTGCTTATGCCCACGCTAGAGTCAGAGATGGAGTCTGCTGTGCCCAGGGCAGCTCCTTGCCCTCAGAAAGAGGAGTTGTTGCTGGATTCCACTTGTGTGTTGGAGCCCAGAGAGGTCACGGAGCCAGTGGCACCCAGTGGGCCTCAGAACCCACCTCACAGTGTAGTGCTGGGTTCCCAGAAAACTCGGAAAGGCGGGAAGAAGAAAAGCAAGGAGCAGACAACACCCGGTGTGGAGGGCTACGCCAGGAGGCTGAGATCATCCTCCCGTGGGCAATCCACTGTGGCCGCAGAAGTGGTCTCTCAGACCAGCAGTTTACAGAAGCAGCCTCAGGAAGAACTTCCAAGAGAGGCTGGGCCTCCCCAGGGAAGGGGGAAGCCACGGGCTTGGGCTCGGGCTTGGGCAGCTGCCTTGGAGAAGCCGAGTTCTGGGGACTTAGAGAGAAGTGCCGGACAAGGTAGTCTGGCTAAAGAAGATCCTCTGGACCTCTACTCTAAGCTGGTTGACACAATTCAGGCCAACCCTGTTCCGACCCGTGTCCTGGTGGTTAACTCTGCTCGAAATGCCCCCGTGCCAATTGACTCTCTAGAAGCCAATCTTGCTGCCGTGGACCCTGCTGTAGCTGACCCTGTACCTGCTGACCCTCTCCCAGTTGACCCAGTCCTTGCTGACTTGGCAGTGGCTGGTCCCACAGTGGTTGTTCCTGTCTCAGACAACTTGTCTCCAGTTGATACTGTCCTAGCTGACCGAGCGCCGGTTGATTCTGTTCCGAGTGAAATGGCTCCAGCTGACCCTGCACTAGTTAAGTCCCGCCCAACTGACCCCAGACGTGGTGCAGTGTCATCAGCCCAAGGGAGTCCTGCTTTGCAGCACCCCCTGGACTCAGAGCCCTCTGACCTCTCGAAGGCTGTCATCCCTGAAGTCAAGGAGGTTGTAGGTCCTCTGAAGGTGGAATGTGGTACCAGTTCTGCCACCCAGGAAACCAAACCTCGGCCTCTTAGCCTGTCTGAATACCGGCAACGGAGGCAGCAGCGGCAGGCAGAGGCAGAAGAGAGGAGTTCCCAGCCCCCAGTGGGGAAGTGGCCTAGCCTCCCAGAGACCCCCACAGGGCTGGCGGACATCCCTTGTCTTGTTCCACCAGCACCAGCCAAGAAGACAGCCTTGCAAAGTAGCCTGGAAGCTCCTCCTGAGGCCTGCTTTGTGCCTGTGGGTCCCAGCCCTGCTTCTCCAAGTCCTGAACCTGCAAGCAAACCTGTGGTTTCAACTCCCCCTGAAAAAGTGCCATCCAAAGAGGTGCCACTGCCAGCAAGACCTTCCCTTCCTGTTGTGCAGTCCGTGTCTCCTGTTGGGCCCATTCCTCCCACTGTGCCCACTCCTTTGCCTTTTCCACCAAGTGGCCTGGGCATTTCCCCTGTGCTGCCCCTTCCTACAAGTGGACAAGTGGTCCCCAGTCTACCCCCACCTTCCTTGCAGCCTCCTGGTCTTCCAGTGTCCATGGGGCCAGTGCCGCCTGATCCGTATACTCACTATGCCCATGTGCCACCCTGGTCTTGTTATCCCCCTGTGTCCCCTTCTGGCTACCCTTGCCCGCCTCTCCCACCAGTGGTGCCCCTAGTGTCTGGAACTCCTAATACCTATGCTATGCCCCCCACTTGTAATGTGCCTTGGGTTCCCCCTCCCACCCCAGTCTCACCTTACAGCTCCAGCTGTACCTATGGGCCCATGGGATGGGCCCCAGGGCCACAACACCCTCCATTCTGGCCAGCTGTTCCCCCACCTCCTTTGCTTCCAGCCTCTGTTGGGAGAGATGTTCCCCCACCCACAGTGGAGCCCAGTGTCATTCCAATTGGTGCTCCTGAAAATGTACTTCCTGTGCCTATGACTTCTTCCCTCAGTCTTGGGGCAGCTGACCACGAAGCTCCACAAATAGAGGCCACCAAAGTTGAAGTCAAGGCAGTGCTTGCATCTCCCCATGTGAAACATAAGGTGTCTTCCTTGGTGCAAACCCCCCGGACCAAGGCCCTTCCAGTTCTGTCTACTGAGGGTGTGGCTGTGGAGGAACCTGCGTCAGAGGGTTTAAAGCCTGAGGTGCAGGAGAGCAAGCCCAAGGAGAAGCCCCTCTGTCCTGCTGTCAGGGCTGTTTCCATACCCAGGCAAAACACTGTCCCCAAGCTGCCTACTGTCCACCCAGCCCGCCTAAGGAAGCTGTCCTTTCTGCCCACCCCACGTACGCAGGGTCCTGAGGATGTTGTACAAGCTTTTATCAGTGAGATTGGTGAGTGCACACAGTGTAGTTGCTATGAGAAGGGGATGGGACAGCTGGGGCTTCCTCTATAGAGCAGAATAAATAAACCACCTTGAGGCTGCCTTTTGTTGAGTTTCTTTGGAGGGGTCCTCAGAAGTGGGACACTCAGCTTGTTTCAGTCCTTTGCGCTGCTGACTAGGTTTGCTTAATAAGGTGGGAAGAGATGTAAAGGGAGAGGTAGATTGTACTCACTGTACGTGACTGCTCGGAACTGGCTTTTAATCCTGTGTTGTGTTCAACCATAGGAATTGAGGCATCAGACTTATCCAGTCTGCTGGAGCAGTTTGAGAAATCAGAAGGTGAGAAAAGCTGGGTGGTTTTGTTCCGGCCCCTTTGTGTTTTGATACTTCTTTTAGGCTTGGCCCTGTACTTGGTTCAGCTGGAGTGAAGGGCAGTCTCGGCCACGAGAGCAGCCTCCAGTTGGGCTGGGCAGACAAGATTTCCAGGAGTAGATGGGGAGATCTGGATAGGTTGGGATTGTTTAGGGATATTTTTCTAGAGAGACGAAACTCTCAAGCTGAATCTCAAAAGGTAGGATTTCAGACATGATATATGTGATAAATAAAGGTGTAGAGAGGGTATAGGAAGGGCCCTGTATGATGTATTTGGAAGGCAACAAATAGCTTGACTTTCTGAAGGTAAGGCATGGCTCTAGGTGCTCTGGGGCTCCTGTGACTTTTGTCAAGGAGCTTTTCATCTAACTAGGGAGATGGACATGAGTTGGTACAAAGTATTTATAGTATAATCCAAATACAAGTGTGGGCTGGGCAGGGTGGTACACACCTATAATGTTAGCTACTTAGGAGGCTAAGGCAGGAGTATGGCAAGTTTGAGGTCAACCTGGACAGCTTAGACTGTTTCAATGTTTAAAAAAAAAAAAGCTAGGGGTGTAGCCCAGCCCAGTGATAAGAGTGTTTAGTTAGCATGCACAGGATCCTGGGTTCAAGCCTCCAGTAATAAAAGGAAGATGTGGGACCCAACTCCACTATGGTTGGGCAGAGTGGTGCACATCTGTAATCCCAGCTATCTAGGAGGTGGGCACATCGAGTTCGAGGCCAGCCTAGCAATAGACCCTGTCTCCAAAACCAAAACAAAACTGTATTTAGCATGTACAGTGCCCTGGATTCAATTCCAGCCTCCTGCACCACCCCAAAGTAGGCTGTGAGGCTAGAAAATTAGGAAGGTTATGTAGAAATTTGAATACTAATCAGCTTCTACAGTTGGACTCTTTCAGAGAGAAAGTGGGTGATTCTTTTTTTGTTTTGTTTTGTTTTGATTTTTTTGAGACAGGGTCTCACTATGTAGTTGAGACTGACCTGGAATTCACTATGTAGCCCAGGCTGGTCTCAAACTCATAGCAGTACTCCTGCCCCAGCCTCCTGAGTGCTGGGATTACAGGTGTGTGCCACCACGCCCGGCTTTTGAAAGTGGGTGATTCTGAACTGAGAAGAAATGTGATTAAATAGTACAGGTCACCCCCTAAAAGAGACTGCATCTTTGGGATAGCCCAGCAGGGAGCTTGTAGACAAAGTACACTTCCCTCTTTGGGTCTAAGCCCTTCTGTGCAGCTTTAGTCTGGAATATCTGGTTGGACTTTTAACTGGTATGCTTTCTTTGCAGCTAAAAAGGAATGTCCTCCCCTGGCTCCTGCTGATAGTTTGGCTGTAGGAAACTCCAGGTAAGTATGGCAACATGTGAATGAATGAGTTACCCTACAGCTGTTGGTCAGTGGCCAGCTGATGTGCCAGGACCGTTGACTGGATTCCTCCCCTGGCAAGGACATGCGGTCAGCTCTAGAGTCTTCCCAGATCTCCATACCCTGCTCTGCCTGGGCTCTGCCCTTGTTTGATGGTGAGGTGGGAGGGTAAGAACTGCCGTCCTGCTGATTGTAGTTGGGAGTTCCAGATGCCTAGAGAGTCTTTTTATCTTGGCAATTTCTGCTTTCGGGGATTTCTTACCTTTAACAGATTTTAAGCTTGCTCAGTGCTGGTGATGGGGTAACTTAAATTGGGGGAAAATATTAATGGAGAGGGCTTCCCTGACACCTTGGAGGACACAGGCACCCTGGACCTCCTTGCTCCTCCGTCATCCAGCAGTGAGGACTTTTTTCATTTTTCATGTTCATGATCCACGATCCACCATCCTGTTTTACCATGTTTCCCCTTTGCATTGGCTTCAGGTTGGTTTGAGGTGGTAGGCAGGGCTCCTGATTTTAAGGAGGTGGGGGGTACTCAAGGTCATAGCCAGCCTGACTCCTGGAATTGGGCAGAGCTGAGATGAGAGCCAGCCTACAGTCCAGTCACTCACACCCCTTTTGTGCTGGAGGGGGATGATGGGAACAGTTTGTACATTTCCATCCTTCTCTGCACACACCCTTCTCCGGTTACTTTGTGAGGAAAGCAGATGTGCATGATACTGAGGAGGCAATGAACCAGGCTTTCCCTTTTCCGCCCCCGCCAGCAGCGTTGACACTCCCCAGGAGAAGAGACCCCTAGACCGGTTACAAGCCCCAGAGCTGGCCAACGTGGCAGGTGGGTTCAGGTTGGGGAACTCTGCCTATGATTAGTTCGTGTAGCAGATGTGCAGTGCCTCTGCTGTGCATCAGGTGTGTGTAGGCATTGACAATACAGCGATCTGATCTCCATTCTGTGGTTTTCATAGTTCAGGGGCCGATGTGTCATTGAGGAGTGCGGAGAATTGGAAGTAGTGTGTTAAAGAAGTTTGCACTTCTAGTAAGACCCAAAGGGACCAGTCAGGGAGGGGGATGTAGAAGATCGTCTCCAGGGCCGGGGATTTAGCTCAGCGGTTCAGTGGCCTGCCTTGCAAGCACAAGGACCCGAGTTTCATCCCTGGTACCAAAAAAAAAAAAAAAAAAAAAAAGCGTTCTTAGAAGATTATCTCCTAAGGTGAGGCTTGAGAAAACCACTGGTATCACTCACATGGTAGATTCAGGGGATAGAGTATCTTCATCAAAAGGAGCAGCTTAAGTGAACGAAGAACCAGAACCATCCTGTGCTTTGGGGAATTGTTAAGTGGTATGGTTTCACTGGAGCATAGTGGCTGATCAGGGTGGTGGGCAAAACAAAAAGCAAGACAGAAAGCTGGAGTGGTAAGCAGATCTGATTATGGAAACTAGCAGTGCTTGGACTTCAACCTGTATATTGCAGAAGCAATGTAGAAGATAGGTGGCAAGTATGAAACTGGAAGTAGGGAGAACTTTATTGCATGAGTGCAGAGAAGGTGCAGCTAGAAGTCAGGCAGTGCTGGGTGGAGAGGTGGGTCTAGGGAGAGACAGGTGGGTAGATAGGACCCGCTTCGTTGGGGTTTGGTAATTGAGAAGATGAGGGGGTTTAGGAGGATCCTGGCTGGCTGGTTCCCAAGGTGGTGGACATGGGGGAAGGAACAATTGGAACAGCGGGAGATGCTGGGCCGTTGCTCTGCTTGGTGTATTTGGTGAGAAGTGGGGTCTCTGAAGCCTAGATACAGCATTTGGAAGTCCAGGCTCAGCTCTCATCCTGCTATCTCCATCCTCCCTCCCCTCACAGGCCTCACCCCTCCAGCCACCCCTCCCCACCAGTTATGGAAGCCCCTGGCTGCTGTGTCACTGCTGGCCAAAGCCAAATCTCCTAAGTCCACCGCCCAGGAGGGAACCCTGAAGCCTGAAGGAGTTACAGAGGCCAAACATCCAGCTGCAGCCTACCTCCAAGAAGGGGTCTGTGGTCCTAGTCCAGTCCACGTGGGCTCTGGGGACCATGACTATTGTGTTCGGAGCAGGACACCCCCCAAAAAGATGCCTGGCCTAGTCATTCCAGAGGTGGGCTCCCGATGGAACGTCAAACGCCATCAGGATATCACCATCAAACCTGTCTTGTCCCTGAGCCCAGCTGCTCCCCTACTCCCAAGCCCAGCTGCCTCCCAGGAGCCCCTTGATCACAGGACTAGCAGTGAGCAGGCACCTCCCCCAGCACCTTGCCTTGCCCCATCTGCCTTGCTGTCTCCTGAGGCCTCGCCCTGCCGGAATGACACGAACACTAGGACTCCCCCTGAACCCCCAGCCAAGCAGCGATCCATGCGCTGTTACCGGAAAGCCTGCAGGTCAGCCAGCCCCCCAAGCAGGGGCTGGCAGGGCCATCGTGGCCGCAGCAGCCGGTCTGTCAGCTCTGGGTCCACCCGGACCAGTGAAGCATCTTCCTCATCCTCATCGTCGTCTTCCTCATCCCGGTCCCGGTCCAGGTCCAGGTCCCTCTCCCCCCCCCACAAGAGGTGGCGAAGGTGAGCTCTTGATGGCCTGTTAGGTTCTGCATTTAGGAAGTTCATGCATTCTCTTCTCTGCTTTGAAAGCTTTCATACACTGACTTGGGTACTTTGAGGCACTAAGGCCTCTGTTTCTGTCTCTGGCTTTGTCTTTTGTTCTGTGGACTGTAAAAGAAGGCAAGCTGTGAGAATGTACCTTCTATACCTTGTTGGAGTTTAGGGTATTCCTGAGATCTCCTGCCTCCTTGAGACTGTTAGTTTGATCCCGACTTCTTTACATACTTTATGTGACTTCGTTACATACTGTATTAGTTCTCTAGGTGTTTTCGTGGTGATATGTGGGACAGTGGGTTGACTGCTAAGGGGGAACTGTTAATCATCTGTTGAGTAAAGCATACGAGGCAGTTTTTTTGGGTGGCTTCATCTACCTTCTGACAGTATTTTTTTTTCCTCAGTAACAGACCCAAGTTTTTCTACTTACTCAATGAAGAATTCTTGGGTTTTAGCAGTGATGCGTATCTCCAGAAATACCCTTCTATAGGTCTAGCACAGTCACCTCCCCTCAGGCTTTGGCTGCAGTGCTCCTACGCCAAACAGTTGGGAAGCACTTGTAAAGCAGACAGCATTCCTGGCCTTTATACCACAGGTAGAGCTGGTTGTGCAAACTGGGGTCCAGCCCTTTATCTCCCTGTTTATTTTCCTTCCTCTTTCTGATATGTTAAATGTTTTTCAGATTTCAGTTGCATAATTGAAAATAAATCTTATGCCTGCCCAAATATTCAGGAACATCCCAGATCTATCTAAAGTTCCAGGAAGGGCATCAGTTTGTTCACCCGTGAGGAAAAGCTATTCTTCTAGACCTCTGCTGCTGTGCTCTCTTTGGTTCTGAGCCTCCTGACAGGCAGGGCCGGGGCTGGGCGACGTGAGCAGTGTGCAGCTGCACCACTCCCAACCCTCCTGCCTGCCCGTCAATTCTCTAGGTCCAGCTGTAGTTCCTCTGGACGTTCCCGGAGATGCTCCTCATCCTCATCGTCCTCCACCTCGTCTTCCTCGTCGTCGTCTTCCAGTTCCCGAAGCCGTTCTCGCTCCCCATCCCCTCGCCGGAGAAGTGACAGGAGGCGGCGGTGAGCGTGTGTTTGGGAAGCAGTGCCTCTGGGATGGAGATGCCCGAGAGTTCTGGGCCTTGCTCTGTCTGGAGGCTGATGACGCTTTCTCTTGCCAGGTACAGCTCGTACCGTGCACACGACCACTACCAAAGGCAGAGAGTGCTGCAGAAGGAGCGTGCAATAGTGAGTGGGGTGGGCTGGGGCTTGGCCCTGAGCCACGAGCTCCGAGAGGCAGCTGCAGCTGTGTGGCTCCAGCTCACTGCCTTACTTTCCCTTGATACCCAACGCAGGAGGAGAGAAGGGTGGTCTTTATTGGGAAGATACCTGGCCGTATGACTCGGTCGGAGCTGAAGCAGAGGTTCTCTGTTTTTGGAGAGATTGAGGAATGCACCATCCATTTCCGTGTCCAAGGGTAAGCTTGGGCCCCAGTCAGGAAGTCCTTTCAGTCCCATTCATCTAGCTTCATGTTTCTTTATCGTTCCTCCTTGCTGTGGTGTGCTGGGCAGTATGGGAAATGAGGAGAGCCTCATCTGTACCTGGGGTACTGTGTCTTCAAGGCATGTGCCTAAATGACTCACCTTCCCCACCAGTGACAACTATGGCTTCGTCACTTACCGCTATGCTGAGGAGGCATTCGCAGCCATTGAAAGTGGCCACAAGCTGCGGCAGGCAGATGAGCAGCCCTTTGATCTCTGCTTTGGGGGCCGCAGGCAGTTCTGCAAGAGGAGCTATTCTGATCTTGGTGAGTAGAGGGAGGCCCTGAGGCTTTGCCACACCTCATTTCCTTCCAGAAGAGTTCTTAGGCCTGCTGCATTGGCGCCCGCCTTTGATCCCAGCAGTCTGGAGGCTGAGGTGGAGGATGGCCATGAGTCCAAGGCCAGCCTGGACTACATAGCTGTCCCAAAAAACTAAAGGGTGGGGCAAGAGGAAGGATTCCTAATCCTTGAGAGTGAGGCTAGGCAGACCTAAGCTGACAGACAAAAAGAATCTCAGGGTGGGATGAGGGGAAGATGAGTGATAATATCTTTCACTTAAAATCATCAATTTTAGCTTCAGCCATTGTTTGGAGGGGAGATGGCTGGCCATTGAGAGTCCAGTGATAAGAACGTGTGATCAGAGATCTTGATGTTTGTCTTTCTCTATCTTTGTAGACTCCAACCGGGAAGACTTTGACCCTGCTCCTGTAAAGAGCAAATTTGATTCTCTTGACTTTGACACATTGTTGAAACAGGCCCAGAAGAACCTGAGGAGGTAACCCTGGGCGCTTTCCCCCTCCCTTTTCTTTGGAGGTGTCCAGCCTCCTCATCCCCCTCCCACACTTAGGGAGAGAGCTGCTAGTGAGATGACTGTTTTATAAAGAAATGGAAAAAAGTGAAATAAAAATATGTCCAATCAGATTTTTAAAAGGGGTATTTGTTTTTTATAACAGGTTGAAACAAGTTAACTTGCACTCCTATATAAAATGGTTGGGGTTGAAGAATTCCCTGGGTGTTCATTTACCATGCAGCCTGAGAAACATGAACTAGAGTGACTTCCCAGATGTTGCTGTGGGTGTGGCATCCCTGTGTTTGGGATTGTACTGAAGCCAGGGCCTCTGCACTGTGCTAGATCTAAATTGACCAGGCTTGGGTTTGAAATTGAGATCTTTCCATCTCAGCTTCCTAGAGTGGGATTTCAGGCATGCAGCCACCAAGTGGGGGCAGTCGTACTTGTCTCTGTGGTGCTAGTGCCAGATGTAGTCACTTTTCCTCTGTGAACACAATTGGGTGTACTTACCTCATTGAGTTCCTAGGGCCTCTCTCTGGTCAGGTGCAAAATCCACCATAAGGAAAGGGAGTCTGGGCAGAAAAAGAATAGAAGTTAAAACTTTTAGAGGCGCTCCCTTGGAAACAATGATAAGGAGAGACAGAGGAGAGAGAGAGAGACAAAGACCATTTCTAAAAAGACGCCAGATTAAAAAGCTGACCAGGAGAACACAGAGAAGCCAGGTGTACACAGCCAAGACAGCCATTCTTCCTCATCTACAATAAAATGTAAAGGAGCCATGGAGGGGAGGGGGTAACCTACTTTTAAAAAGTTTTTTTTTTTTTTTTTTTTTTTTTGGTACTGTGGATTGAACTCAGGACCTTGTACTTGGGAGGCAGGTGGCAGGCAGGAAGCACCACCGAGATAGATCCCTAGCCCTAAACAACAAAGTTTTGTTCAGTGTATAAAAATATATACTCACACCTATGTGCTTATATATCTATGTACTTTTTTACTGTAGGGACCTTATATTAGTACAAATAGACAAACACCCCTTATTAACTCTTAAGCTGACTTTATGAGGTTCCTCCTTAACCAGCCAGCAGCTCATCCCAGAAACAAGGCCCTGACAAGGGCAAATAGACAGAAAAAAGCCAAAGCCCATGAAAAGAAATGCACAGGTAGAAAAGGGTACCTGATTTAATACAAGGACATCCCAGGGAGCCAGTCAAATTGTAACAAGTTTCTAGGGAGGAAGAATTTCTCAAAACATCATGAAAGAAACTGGGGACAAAGACCTACGGATGTTCCATCTTTCAGAAGCCCTCTCAGGGGCAGCTGTCTTCTGTTTTCTTCTCCTTACAAATAAAGCATCTTTCTTAAACTCTGTTCCCTTAATCTATAACTGGTGCCTCGTTAGCTGCTCATCCCAGCGGTGCTTGTGCTGCATGCTACACCACCATATTTGAAACTGGGCTCCTCATGTGTGTTACCTGTGGAATATGTCACCTAGGGCTTTGCTTTTCCCACTTGAAAGGGGATTTGAATCATTTGGAGACTTTTTTTTTTTTTTTTTTGGTACCGGGCATTGAACTTGGGCCTTTGCATTTGCGGAGCAGGCGGTGGAACCACTGAACCAAATTCCCCCAGCTGGAGATGTTTTCAGAAGGCACACTCTGAATTCTGGGATGAATTCTGAATTCTAAGATTCTGCATTTCAAAATTCGGGGCAATGATGGATGGTACCCCGGGAAGGGATTTTTGCAAATAAGGTTTTCGAAGTGGGCTTGTATGCACATTCACCATTTCAGTTGAGATCAGCATTTTAGTTTGAGTGCAATGCTGGGCATACAGCTAGTGCTTTTGTGTGAGAATGCACGCAGAGGCAGATGTAAGTTCTCTAGGTCGGGAGACACCTGTTCTGAGAAAGACGAAGGAGAATGGTGTCTGGAAGTGGATCCTTGCCTTTCTTGAGGCGCATTAATGGGCAGTAGTCAAGGAATAGGAGTAAAGGAATTGCTGCCTGCTCCCGGGACCAATATAGCGATCGAGTTAGGACCCGGGAGGGGAAAAAAATTATTTTTAGGACTGCGGATTGAAGGGCTCTGCTGTGTGATTCTGATTTGGTTGCTCACCCTATGTGGAGCTGAACTAAGGCTGCGTAAGCAAGAAGGGGGAAGGGCTGCCTGGAGTGGTTGTTTTGTGGACTCGGTGTGACGGACCCTCTACTGCACACTCAGGAAAGGATGGGCTCTGGGAGCATCTCCTGGGGTGGTGGAGTGAGGGTGGAAGGCGGGAAGGGAACCCGCCCGCACACGCCAGTAGAGAGCGGGGCGAAATCGGGACTACATCTGGAGAGACAGGTGGCTGAGGCCTGCTCGTCCATTTATTCATTACCCTGAAGCCCTAGTAGCAGCCAGGAAAGCGCCTCCAGCACATCAGCGCGAAGAAAATCCTGAGTTTTCCCGCCTCGGCTCGGAGCGTGACCCCTTACGTCAGAGCTCCGCCTCCACAAAGAAGGCCGGTGGGCCCCGCCCTTGCAAGATGGAGACGCGTCTGCGACCGGAAGGAACCTTGGGTTTCTACATGGCCCCTCCTCCGCGGCAGCCCCACCCCTTCCGCTACCCGCCGGCGCGGCGCAGTGACGTCAGGCCCCCACCCCCGGCCGAGAGCCTGATTTTGCAGTCGCCCTTCCTCTGAGACGGTAGTGACGCGTATTGCTGGAGGATGGCGGACTCCGGCCTGCGCCGCGTGGTTCCCAGCGACTTGTTCCCGCTGGTGCTCGGCTTTCTGCGCGATAACCAACTCTCGGAGGTGGCCAATAAGTTCGCCAAGGCGACAGGCGCTGTGAGTCCTGGGCTTGGTGGGTGGGATGACCTCCAGGCTCCACGCTGCAGGCCCCGGCTCCGAAGAGCCTGGTTTTCGGCGTGGGGAGGTCTGTGGGCTCCACCAGTCCAGAGTTGGCGAGACCTTTGAGCTCCCTGTCGGGGTGACTGGAGGAATTCTGGGACCTCGGGGTTTCGTTTTGAACGAGGTCTGATCAAGTAGCCCCAAGTCTTAACTTTCCTGAGGAGCCCTGCAGCGGCGGCTGCCTGGGACCCGCGTGGCCCGGGTCACGTGGTTGACAGGTGCGATGAGCGGAGCTCCTGGTCCCACCAAGGGCTGTCGCAGTGCCGGATTCGTGTTGGCCTAGGAAAAGTGTGATTTGACCTTGGTCGAACGCATTTACTTGGGACTGTAAGGTGACTAAAGTTACTTTAGAATTGAAGGCTAGGGTTTTTTCTGTTTTTTTTGTTTTGTTTTGTTTTGTTTTTACGACAAAGTCTTACCAAGCCGGCATAACAGTGAGCTTGGACCTTCGGCCAGTGGAGCTTGGGACCAGGCTCCGCCACATAGAAGCATGACTGCCAGCTTGCTTTCTCTTAGTCTGTTCCTTTTTTTTTTTGTACCGGAGATCGAACTCCGGTCCTGGTACTTGGCGAGGCAGGCGCTGGAACCACTTAACCCAATCCCCGGCCCAGTCTGTTCCTTTTCTACAGGATTATAGTGATCCATTCTATAGGATTTTTGTTAGTTTACATAAGATAAAGTATAAACGTAGCAGTCCCTGTGCTGGCACACAGGAAGTGTGAGATAAATCAAGGCTTTTACCAGTTAAGGCAGTTTAGGGTGCTCCAAATACCGATGAGGGCAAGAGGATCAGGAATGTGAAGGGTAAGGAATCTAGTTTTACTTTTTGGGGTGGGTGGTTTGAGCCAGGGTCTTGGCTTTGTAGTTCAGGCTGGCTTCGAACTTGCTAGATGCTCCTGCCTCAGCCTCCCAAGTGCTGGGATTATAGGTGTACACCACCATCAGGCCTGGTGACTTTCATTAATTTGGTATGAAAATCAGCATTACATCAAACACTACCTTGTGTCGGTGTTTGCGACTAAGATTAAGTTCTTAGAACTTCTTATTTTATTTTTATTATTACTTTCTGGGTTTTTTTGTTTTTTTTTTTTTTTTTTTTTGA